GTATCTAGAGATAATGATAATTTAAAGGTCTGAGTTGCAGTGTTTTTCAGATATATATGTATATATATTTATTATATTCTAACTTCTTTGAGTATAGAATACCTTACAATAATGTATAGGACTGGTAAAGTTCATTGCCTGTGCATATGTATACTTGCTTATCAACCAAATAGATTTACTAAGCTTCCTTGATTTTCAGCCAGCTATCCAATTAGAAACCATTTTAGACAGCTGTGTCTAAAACTCTTATTGCTAACTCTAGCATGAGCAAAGAAGAATACAACCATCAAACCTTCAGAGGTAGTGTTATAGGCTTGGAGGAAAAAAAAGTCCATGACCAATAGTAGAACACATGTTAACACAGACATAGGTTAAGAACAGGATGGACAAAACTGAAACAGTATCTATGACTCAGAGCTGATTTAGTACTGGACTGTGAATCTGAGGCATTTTGGGGAAGCAATTGGTTCATTTTCTCTAGAGAAAGATGTACTTTTACAACTATGATATAAACTATAAATAGTAATCTCAACATGTAATAAAATTCCTAAATTAAAAGAAAGCAGGCATTACATTTCAACTTATGAAATTTTCTTTTTTTTTCTTTCTTTCTTTTTTTTCTTTTTTGTCAGTTGTGGGGGTTGAACTTGTCCTGGGTGCTGTCCCTGACCTCTTCAGCTCAAGGCAAGTGCTCAACCGCTTGAGCCACAGCACCACTTTCATTTTTCTGGTGCTTAATTGGAGATAAGAGTCACCCGGAATTTCATGCCTGGGCTGGCTTTGAACTGGGCTCCTCAGATCTTAGCCTCTCGAGTAACTAGGATTACAGGTCTGAGCTACCAGCACCCAGCTGAAACATTTTTTTCTTAATTATACAAAAAGTAACATGAAATGAAGGTGGTTCTTATGAAAATGACAACTTTCTCAATTTACTGAAGTGTGATATACAATTAAAAATACTTAAACAGGAGGTGGATCTTGCTTACAAATAATGTGAGATTTAACTGAAACTGATCTAACAATAAATTTGCTCAGAAACTGATAGATCCCAAAGTTTGGAGTCACCTCATAGTTAATATATGCTGATAGGTCCTTGAGAAAGAACTCTTCATTCTGTTATCTGTATGGCTACAGCCTGCTGCCTGTACTTATACAGATCAATCAGCACTTTCCCTTGGACCTGGGAATGAAGTCCATCCTTTCCAAATACAAAATTTCTACAGAAATATGGACAGTATATAGCTAGGTGCCAGTGACTCACACCTACAATCCTAACTATTTAGGAGACAGATCTAAGGATCTTGCTTTGAAGCCAGTTTGGCAGACAAATTCAGAAGATTCAGATCTCCAATTAACCAACAAAAGGCCCAAAGTGGAGGGGTTGATGTATAGCTCAAATGACAGAGTATCAGCTATGAGCAAAAACAACAAAGAAAGGAGTAAAGTAGAATAGATGGGATGACCATGGATAAAGATGAAAGAAACTTTCTTGATTTTCATCAAGGGTCAGAGAAAGGCAAGTTGTAGTAATGATATTAGTTTAGGATTTTCTGTCTTGCTTTTGAGGGAACATTTTGAATCAAATTTAAAAACCGAAGGGACTTCTCTGGTGCTTACATTACAGATACAGAAAGTAGAGATAAGAAATGGCATAGAGGCCTGGGAAGGTGGTTCAGTGGTAGAGCGCTTGCCTTGCATGCCTGAGGCCCTGGGTTCAATTCCTCAGCACCACATAAGCAAAAAGAGAAAAGCCGGAAGTGGCACTATGGCTCAAGTGGTAGAGCTCTAGCCTTGAGCTGAAGAGCTGAGGCACAGCGCCCAGGCCCAGAGTTCAGGCCCTATGACCAGACACCCCCTGCCCCCCCCAAAAAAAGAAATGGCATAGAAATTTAAAGATTTCAACACTTTTATTAAGTGCTTGAAACCAACATGTTAGACTAAGGCAAGTATTTTCCAGTTGTTGGCCCAATCTGTAATTTTACAAAAACAATTCTCTAGGTCAATTCAAATGATTATAATGATTATATATAAATAAAGAGTCTATAAATGATATATATGTACATATATTAAAACACATAAATATATATAAATTTTTCTCCTAAGAGAGCAGCATATTCTAGTTTAGAAATAGCCTAAAACTAAGTGCTATCAAACTAATTTCTGATGCCTATATGATTGTACTTGATTAGCACAGATATTTTGCTCCTGGAGTTTGCCTGAAAAGGGACTCTAGAGCCTTGAAAATGATGTCATTTCCCAAATTCTATAGATGACCATTGAGTTAGATGCACTTCAACAAACTAAGATAATTGGCCTGGGTTTTGATACGATCTATTGTTTCTCTATGGAAAAGGGTTTTTGATGAAGGTAGTTATGCTAAACACAGCTCTGAAATCAGGGCATCCTATTTTTCTCCCTTCTGTTGGCCCCATCAGAAATTTATTATGACAAAGAACACAGCTGATGGATTGCAAAATCCTCAGTTGAACTCTCTCTTCCTCTCTCTACCTCCCCATCTGTCTCTTTTATTCTTATTTCTCTCTCTCTTTTTCTCTGTCTCTCTCAAGTAATAAAAAGTGATTAATGGAGGAGATGTAGTTTAGATGAATTATATGCAGTGTTATTGTATGTAAAATTACTTTTCCATGATACTGTATTTCCATCTTTGCTTTAGCATTGCCTTTTTGTTTCAGTTAGCACAATAATATTACTGAAGTCATCCTCCATTACATTACTGTTTGTCTTCACATTTAAGGCAACGATGTCATTTTCAGATGAAGCCATTTGTCCTTGTTAAGGCAGACAAGGCAGTTACTACATTCAGACTCAATTATTAAGTTGCATGATTGATTCCAAGGGAGAGAACTGGGAGCTGAAGCAAATAGAATGTGTCCTTAACTGCTTGGTATGTTCTTTCTTCTGCTAGATCTAATGGGAGAATAACTCATGTCATTATAAGTAAGAGTTAGTTTAGATCAGGAAACCTACTCTGAGATGGAGAGGAGGATATCAGATAACTATTAAGGAATGCCTTCAATGCCAACATCTGAGGAAGAGAGGGAAAGGAAGCCAAAGAGGACTCAGGGAGAAGGTGACATGTACTGCAGGTCCAGTGCCTGAAAGTTTACAGTATTTTGAGAATATACATCACACTAATGCTTCTGTGTCATTGGGCGAATTGTAGCACTCAAGAATATTCCTCCAAACTTCTAGATACCTCAAGATTCCTAGGGAGATGCTGGGAGTATTGCTCAATGGTTGCCTAGCATGTACAAAGGCCTTAGGTTTGATACCAAGCACTGCAAAAAAGAAAAAGAAATGAAACAAAGAGAAGGAACCAAAAATATGTCTGACAATGAAATAATTAAAAGGATAATACATACTATGTACCAGAAATTCCCCTATTTCCTCCGTTTTAGCACTTAGTACTTAATAGCAAAAGGTTTCTGCAGAGAAGAAAGGGTTTCAATTTATAGACACAAATTGAAATAATTTTTAGTTTCTTTAAAACAAAATATCACAAATTCTGAAATTTTGAGAAGGCATCAGGTAAAAGCAATACACAACTGGTCTAGAAAATGGTAGAGAAATCGGGTAGTAGTGAATCACCAGCCTCCAATCCTAGCTAATCTGGATGTGGAGATCAGAGTATCTTCCTAGACTTGGTTAATCCCAGAGACTCTCTTGAAGTAACCATACTGGGCTGAAGTATGTATATCTAAAGTGGTAGAATACCAGTCATGAGCCGGTAAGCCTAGGAACTACAAGGTACTAAATTCAGGTTCAGGAAAAAAAAAAGGTACAGGAAATTAATAATATATATTAACCCAAAGATGTAAAGAAAAATGACTTAGATATTTCTTCATTACAATTATTAATAATAATGTTAGTTACCATGGCCAACTGCAATTGTGTTATTTCAAATTTATTTTTATTATTATCATTAAGTAGTTGTACAAAGGAGATGCCATTCAACAAAGCAGTTTATGAATATAATCAGCAAAAACTCTACAATTAATTGCCATAGAAAAGTTTTATTCTTTTAACTGAAAAAGATATAAAGATAAGAAAGATCTTGACTGAATTCACACAGATTTGCAATAGGAGAAGACAGTGCCACACCTGGATGGCATTGTACAGTTAGAAAGCCTAAATAGGAATAAATTGTACATCTATACATGTGCATTCATTTAAAAAATCAAATTCTTTATTGCTCAGTGAATGTGGTATGAACTGTACTGTCTCAATAAATGTTTAAGGACAGATGCTTAAAAATAAAAGGGCATGTACAATATAAGTTTATTTTACATTTTTCTGACATTCAATTTACACATCAGAGCAAAATACAGAATATACCTTATTATACATTCTGCACAGAGAGTTGAGTCTCATCAAAAGCTTTACATTAATTTTTTCCAAATTTTTTTTTTTTAGTTTTAACTACACTGCGTTTCAGTAGTCCCTAGAAATGGGACATGAATGCTGATTGATTTCAGATTGCAGAACACCAGGGTAACATCAGATTAACGGAGAATGAGCAGGAGAAGTTTTGGATCTACCACCACTTGGCATTTCTGTCACGCACATACTATAGACGTTATGCACACACTATAGACACAAACCATCTCAAGAGCATGTGTAATAATGAAGTGTGGCAGAGGAATTAAGAAGGATGCGTTGTAATGAATGTTTATCTTCTCACTGATAAATCTATTTCATTGGGGGTTGCATCATTTTTTTTAACAACAGTTAAGAGTTGGCTCACGAGATTCTTGAAACTTAAGTTGGATCAAGTGAGTTGGTGTAATTGCAGGAAAGGAAAGCTTTCAATGAAGCAAACATTTTCATTTCCAGAGGATCTCCTGCTCCACATACTAAGCCTGAGTGTAACTCCACTTACAAATGGAAGATATCTTTTATCAAACAAAATACATGTCAAGATAGATAATGTACAGAACAATTTCTTTGAAATTTATTGCAATTTTTGTGTTTTTTCACAGGCATTTCCCTGCATCTCAACGGGCATTTATGGTAAGTGATCTAATTTTGATGATGTTTGTACTTCTTTGTTAAATGAAAGGGAGAGTGGTTAACTGGAAAAAATAAAAATGTTCTCTGCTGAATATATTTTGCTGTGATTTAAAGAGACCTCAGATGCAGACTCCACATTCTTCCAAATTCCATTAAGGAATCCCAGAAGCTACTCCGATTCTTTGGTTTTCTTCAATTTGATTGCAGTGGATATCACAGGAAATGAGTTGATACATTGTTTCTAGAAGGCTTTTGTTAAGTCAAAAAATTATTCAGTGAGCTTGACCTCTAATACTGTTTTTTAAAAATAAAGTCAGATATCCCTCTCAGAAAAAGTACAATGTGCAGGAAGCCTAGCACTACTATTATTTTGTTGCACTTTACACAATATTAGAAACATTAAAATGCATATACCTGTATTGCTATTTTTTTAAGAAACCCAAAGAAGTGCTTCTTAATATAAAAGAGTTTTAACCTGTTGCAAATATGTTTTGGTATTGATGGGCTGTTTTAAGTAGTGAATATTTCGCTTACAGATTAAAGCAAAATGTTTTTTAATTACTTATTTTTAGTAGCCTAAGTCAGCTGAATATTCTTTCAAATTCTTCCACCTGAATTGATTTTATGTTTCTCCCTCCCATCCCAGCCAGACTATTAATAACTGCAATTTCTAGATTAGGGTAAAATCAAGTGTATTTATCATTTTAGAATTTTCTGATGCTAGCAAAATAGATAGTGAACTTTCTAGACTTATTCTCACATGAAAGCTCTTAGCTAAGATATAAAATGTATAAAAATCTAAAAATATAGTTGAACATTATTGCTAAGAGAAATGAGACCTAGACTCTTGTCAAAGACAGGAAATGTGCTTTTCCTTAACATAGTATTTCTTTTGAAGTTCTTCTTGAAAATAAAATAGAAAATGTAGAAATGAATCAAATTAAGTGGCCAAAGATTTGGTGACACATTTATAGAGTGAACAGGTTGCCTCCTTCCTCTTCAGAGTCTACTCTAGGAATAAGGGCTCCACTTAAGAAAACAGTAGATGGACTGGGTTTGGACTAAACTAGACTATTTGAATAATTTTCCTCATCATGGCCACAATGCCAAGTTAAAAATCCTACATATTTGCATAAGGAAAGTATTATGTACAAAGTTCTACTTGGTAAAGATCCCAACTCTTTTGTGTGTCTGGGTGTAAAGTTTTGGTACTGAGGCTTGAACTCAGGGGCTGAGCACCATCCCTTAGCTTTCTGCTCATGGCACTCTAGCACTTGAAACACAGTCTTCTTCAAGGGTTTTACTGGTTAATTGGTGATAAAAATCTCCTGTCTGGACTTTCCTACCAGGCCTAGCTTCAGCTCTGGACCTTAGCTCTCAGTCTTCTAAGTAGCTGGGATTAGAAGTATGAGCCACTGGCGCCAGCAAGAGCCCAACTCTTTATTTCACCTTATCTAGAATCAACCAAGACTTCATTGCAAAATAATTTTTATTTTAAGAAAATTCTTTCAACTTAGTCACAATTTCCTTGACAACAAACAAAATCTCAGCTGCCTAAACCACTAACATGTACATTCTTTGTTTATTACCTTGTTGATGTTTATTTCTGAGAGTCTATGGCAATGTGGAAAGAACTTTAAAAGAAGAATGAACCCGAAGATAAGGACTCAAATGGTTTTTCTTGCTTGCTATTGTTTCTAACATATTTATAAGATGATTTCTTTGTTGCTTTGTATGTCCCGCCCCCATGGTATAACCCTTGTTTACACTGTATTTGATGTTGGTATAATTTGTGGAGGGGAAGGGAAAAAACAAATATTTTAGGGATACAGATGGACCCATTGCAACAAAGAGATGTACAAGACGTTATGTCGGAAAACAAACTTTACAACTTTGGCGTGGAGGGTGGGGGGGTGTTGGAGAGTGGCGGGGGTGGGGGGGGGGGGGGGGGGGGGGAGGAGATGGGAAGGGGAAAACAAAGGAGGAGGCAACAATGCTTGATAAGAAATGTACTCGTTACCTTGCTCATGTAATTGGAACCCCTCTGTATGGTATTTTCACAATAAAAAAATCTTAAAATAAAAATATTTAAAAAGAAGAATTTATCTAATAGCATGTGCTATTAGAAAAAGGAGTGGCTAGAAATTTTTATAAAGAAGAATAAGAGGATGATGAAGAGGGAATATAAGACTAAGGCTTTGGACTGAATGGTTAAAAAAATCCATAGTGCATAACGGTCAATTTTAATCTATCAAGGGTAGGAATTTCTCCCTAGACACACTAATATCATAACTGGTTTGGTCCTTCATTGTGGCAAAGAGAATGAATGAGTGATAGTAGCTTGATGAAAGTATTGTCACTGTGTAAGCATAATCATTTGAACAATGATAGGTCAAAGAATAGTCTTGTTTAAAAAAGTCTTAGCTATTAATTTTTCTTTGGGAAAGATTGTTTTTTATATGTGGCCAATAAACACAAATGTACCATGTCAGGTGCTATGTTGTTTAGCCTCACTAGGACGTGAAGCCTGAGGTTAGTTTATCTTCAGGACTTAGTGTTTTAGTAACTTAAATCTCTCCAACTGTCTCTATGTTTAAGGACCATGCAACGTTATGCAATTTGTAAATCACGTTTTCTGTCTCTTGTGAAGTTAAAGCTTTCTGCTTAGTCCTTGGTTCTTTCTCAGGTCCTATATAGTATAGACTAGCTGTTTTCTTTCCCTTAGTCAGAATACTGTCCCTTCAATTCTACATTTGTCTTTATCGATAGAGGTTTGAGATAATATTCATCCAAAGGAAGTGGTCCTAGACTACAAAGAAGAAAACTCCCAACATTATGTAAGTCATACTAACATGGACGTGGAACAAGTTTTCAAGATAAGCTTTTCGTTCCACTCATTGCCTTTCTCATTACATATTCCAAACCTTGCTAGATTAATTTTTCTGAAATACCACTTGGCGCACATTTCCCATCTGCTCCGAGCCTTTGATCATATTCCATTACTTGCAGGTTAATGTTAATTCTTCCCAGTGTGAACAATGGACATTTTATATATCCCCATAAAGGAGAACTTTGGAAAGAGGGAGAGGAACAAATCTCTTCGAGGATATGAATTTGTATGCTAAAAGAAACTTAAAGATACTTTTGTGCTCTCCTCTGTGAAGGAAAGATTTAGTTGGAAGCCCATCTTTGTGTTCATTTGGTTTTAGTTTTGGCTTTGGTTTTTAAGATGGAACCTCACTATGTCATCATGGTTCATCTCAAACTTTCCATCCTCCTGTCTCAGCCTCCCAAATACTGTGATTATATGCATATTCCTCCTTGCATTGCTTACAGCAGTCTTTGTCCAGAACATAACTTGAGAAGTTTCTCAGTACTCACCCAACATAACACGTCTTTTGTTACCTACATGTGATCTAAGAATCGCAATACCTGTCATTTACATACAAGGTCCAATTCTGGAACCTTTCCTGACATGTACTTCTTAATACACAAACACACAAACACACACAACGTATATACTATGTTATCATCACCACTGCTTTCTACCTCATACTGCAAACACACACCATACACATTTGAACAGACTGAAGCATGAGCTCCAGAGTGTCTTCCTTGAGTGTATTAACCCTTACTGGATACTATGCCTTCTGAATCTTTCAGTACTTGTATTTGTATATGAATTACTAACTGCTCTCCTATACTGCTCCATAGGTTTTGCTTCTGCATTCTATATCCTGTCCCAATTGGAGATTAAATATATCTGTAGTGCTGGAGATAAAATCCTGGGCCTTATGCATGGTAGGCCTGTGCTTTGCTACTGTGCTACATGCCCAACCTGGAATTCTTTAAGAGTAGAGATTGATTCATTGGTGTGTATTCTTTGCATATTCAGTGCTGAGCTGAACATCATGTCTTTGGGAAAATCTGAGGGAATATTGTTGATTGGGATAATGTTTGTAATGCAATGTATTGCCTAACTGAAGTTATAGATAAAAGAATAGTTTGCTGGCAAAATAACATGTAAAGAAATCCCATCAATTGTTCCTTTCTCTTTTTTTTACTTAATTTTTTTCATGGATATATTAAAAATAAGTAGTGAATATGTTGTGTTTCAATACATATATACATTATGCAATTCTCAAATCATTGACAAGGTAAAATGGAAGTAGGAGATCTTGTTCATTGCAGAGGCTAGCTGAATTCAGCCTTTGATTTCACTTAAGGAAAAAATTAAACTCTTTGTGCCTTCTTATGGCCCATGGGACAATGGCTAGTCTGGTAAATACAGATGGCCATTCTTTCTTCTTCCAGCATAATCTGAAACAGAGCTCACTTTCCCAGCAGATGTATTTTCTCAGGTACCTGATTGCTTTAGATTTAAGTTTACTCTTACATTCATGCAAAACTACTACAACTCTCATCACTGAGGTTTTTTTTTTAACTGCTAAGAAAAATCTGCCCAGGTTAACTTCAACAGTGAGCATTCCCATGTTCCAGATGCTCAGGCAGCCATCACTCAAAGAAATGTGTCTCAGCCCAGCACCAAAGAAGCTGTGCCCTCCTTTCTTTCTTCTATTCCTCAGCTCTTGGACACCTACTCTCCGAGGCAGCTGAACCTCGGAGTGAGACCTTTATTTTTTTTTCCCGCAATGTAGACTCAACCTGATTTAAGGAGGAAACATGATTAGAACAAGACCCTACCTCTTTTGAAGTCTCCTGGAATAGGAAGCAGACTTTTTCACTGACTTCCAAGGTCTCTCTGACTTCTCCAATGTAATATTTCTAGAACATTCACACAAGGCCTTGGAGTGCCTGCTTACAGTTAGGATGAAAAACCACTTTGGGTAAAATACAAAAAAAAATTGCCTACATTACTTTTTGGTAAAATAGTTCCAGGTGAGGTTTACAAGGTCTCTAGTGCTCCAGATTGCTGTTAAATATCTGAATTAGCCTCTATTCCTGTCTCAGAGGGACAGATTTGAACTTTTTTGATGATC